CAAGCCTGATCACCAAACATACGCACGGTCTGGGCGGTAAAATACGAGGGCGGTGGGCGGAATAATTTGTACTGAATAAACCGTAGTTCTAAAAGCATTTCAACTCAAAGACGGCGGTGAGGTACGAATAGGTGAATGGATTGCGAACGTATGATAAATTCAATCTATTTCGAACAGGGGCACTAATGGAGACAGTGAACGCAGCGCAGTAGAGTAAATAACTGTAGACACCTGGACTCAGGTTCTGGTTGAAAGGCGTAAATTTTTTATAAACCTATAAACATACATGATTGCGAATGTCGGTTACAACCCAACATTGTCGATGTGCAAATTATTGTTAGATGGAGATGCGTGGCGTAGTGAAATGCTAAACGGAAGTGAACTACTCATGAATTGTCAGCACAATCATTCAGCTTCGTGCATTTAATTCACACCCGCTATCTTGGAATAGATCCTGGGGTAGACTGTCAGGGTCGGGGGCTTTGTGACGTTTCAAATATTGGATTGCACTTCGGTTGGGGATCTGTGGGGATATTCCAAGCATCACTTCAGGGGGAAAATGTTACGGGAGACTCTGATGGACAGTTAAATTGTAGCGTAATGTGCTCCGCTAGGCGACCCAAGCACCTGTGTACGTTGGTGATTTCCGTGCTGTCTGAGTTGCGACCGATGGTCTTGATGAGGTAAAATAGACTTTGAGTCTCCAACCGCTGCAACCTCTTCCATCTCAGTAGCTCGTCTTGATCACCAGAATTCACGGCGAGTTTATAATGCAACCGCCCGTTCAACCCTCCTATACGGTTGTGAAACCTGGTCCATCAAGTCGACAATCATGAGGCTACGTTCGACTATCGCTGCCTTCACAGCTTGCCTCGTGTCTGGTGGGAGCACTGCGTGAGCAGTGAATGTGTTTGGTGCAGGAAGAGCGAGTGAACTGCTCAGCGCCATTATATCAGGCACCAGGCTCCGATGTATGAGCCGCGTGTTGCACATGCCAGCCCACTGACTCCCGCGAAGTGCATTGTTTGCGCCCCTGGAATCCGGATGGAAGAGAAGGAGGGGGGGCAAGCGATGACTTAGTCAAAAGGAACGAAATTCCTCACTTCGAAGTTGGCGTCGGTTGGTGTGTCCCGACTGCCTGACTGGGGTCCGAAGGACGATGAACACGTTTGGTTGGATACACTAGTTGACATGGCAAGGAGCCGACCTCAATGGCGTTTGTGGTCTGAGTTTCTTTGTCCATCCCCCTCACCTTCAGATCCATTTTCCAATTATATCTCATAATCACTGACTAATAAGATATTTGGCATTAAGTTATTCGCTTTTGAATTTTTTGGTAGTGTACTTTTTAGTGTCTTATCTTTGGCTGTGTAGCGGAGGACGCCGCAGCTGGATAAACCGACAGCTAGCATGACTTGTTGTAAGCCTGACCGATGTTGGTCAACATTCAGAGTATGAGAAAGGATGAGATTTTCTCGTAGCCTCCGTTGGCACTACCTTTTCACCGTCGGAGCCTCCAACTTGTAGGTGTCCAGTCGGGTATTTTTGATTCTAGGTGAGCCACCAAACGCACACAAGATATCGCACACACCAATGCATGATCGGTTTCAACGCAAGTTGACCGATATGGTCGGCATTCGCGTACGCTGCTGCGCCACCTGCAACTTATGACTGTGTGACCAGCGCTGGGTGGACGATGGAGGACGCCAAGTGGCATGTGGCGTCTAGGGGGACGAAAGTTCATGCTGTTGCGGAAAAATTGGTAATCAGCACATAGGCTAAGCAGTCTCTCCGTTGTCAGAGCGAATGTCATCAAATCCACGCGATTCCTCGAGGTGTCGTTCACATGTCAGCGGCCAATGGACACGTGAATTAAAATCTGGCATGATAGTGATGTCTGTTCTAGGCGCTCTTAGGAGCAGCTCATGAAGGTGTTAATAGAACTGGTTCTTAACTGTATCTGTATTGTTGTCCGTGGTCGCCTAGGTGCGTCTCTGCGTCTGCTTACCTTGTGTGGGTCACAGAGCCTCATGGCACAAAGGTAACTGTTAACTGGAATCCAATCAAGGCGGGCGGCCTCGGCTCTAGCACTGAGGGCGATCCCAACACCATCTTGTCCAGAGGCAGCTGACTCGGTATAACCGGAAGGATGGAGATGGAAGCGAGCGTTTGGCTGGAGTAGTGACTACAGCTGGTAGACTGCGTTGGAATTCTGACGTCTCGTTTCACTCAGGCAGCAGACATCAATCGCAAGGGCCTTCAGCGTGTGTAAAAGTACAGTTTGCTGTTCGACCTGTAGTAATATGCGCACGTTGCAGATTGCTAGTTTGAATTGCCTTCTGAGTTACAGGAACGAAGATGGAAGACTTCGGGGCTGCTAACTCCCTATCAAGGACTGTCTGGTTGAGCCGATCGATGTCAAGGGAACGAGTTAATCGCCTGATGTAAGGCTGTTCACCATTGAAGGGGTAGATAAAAGTGCATCTGTATGGTACAAGGGTAGGATAGGTAAAATGGTGGTGGCAACAGGATAGCGGTCCATCAGAAGAGCGTAGTTTTGTGCTACTATGGTTCTACAGTAGGTGAGATACTACCCGGTTACCTAGGCCGAAGTTGTGGGTTTCTTTGTCCCTCCCCACCCCTTTTAGCCTCCCCCTCCAACCACGATCTCATTTCGTAGTGTAATATAATTTTACATAATAATTTTTTCTTTTGGCCTAGTAGCCGGCTGGTACCTTACCGGAACGATGCCTATCCGTTGCTGGTAGCTCAACTGGCATGCAACTGTTGTATTTATTTTCCTTTGCCTTTATGTATTGCGGCACAGTAGCTGAGGTGTTTCCTACCTCTAGCTAACGTGTATAATGCTGATGATGATGGTGATAAAGCCGAAGTATGTGGGTTTTTTAAGGGACCACTGCCCTTAGGCGTTGGCCAAAGGGCCTAGCCCATAAGACAGCAGGGCAAGCTAAGGATTTCGTAACCGTTGGGAGCCGGCGACTGATCACTCACTCCACGCGCCTTTCGGACTTCGAAAATCTACACCAAGGGCGCAACCCCCCCCCCCCCGAAGTCGAAGGCAAAATGCGATGTTCCAATCGTTTCCCGGTATACAATGTCTCCGAAGAAGACAGGGTCAATGACTGTATTTAGTGGTGATTCACATCCGCCACGTCGCAGTGTTGTTAAACAGACTTTTCTGACTTTTTGTAGGGAGAGTGCTTTGCAAGCGAAAACCCACCACGTCCTGGAACACTGCCGCCGAACTATTCATCGGAACGGGAAATTGCCAATCCGCCCACGGGGAGGTTGTTCAGCAAGCCAGCCAGGACGCATAATGTGTTCACTTCACGTCGCTGTGTGTTGGTTATCTTATTTCTACCAAGGACTAATCTTGATATACCATTAACTTGTGTCACGCACGGTATATCTGTGTTGATAAAACTAAAGCACACGCAGATCATAACGAAAGGCGTGAATCGGTGCTAGATGTAGCGGTGTTCAAGTGATAGAGACAATTATGCGTCCCCTCCACATACGCAGTGTCTAATGACCAAATGCTTTTTTTATGGAAAAAAGGCATCAGCACTACGCCGGTACGCAGTACCCACGCTTCGCTGTCACGCAACCACCGTCAGCCGCGTAGGTTAAGGATACTGCGAGGGTTGCCCGGTCCCCTACGCAAGCTCGAACCCGCAATCTGTTCATAACCCAGGCGTATGATCCGATCGGCACATTTTTTATGGATCTGTTGGCCACTCAACATTTTAGATGAGATTGGAATCAATCACCAAGAGGTGCACCTAACATTGTGTTTCTAAAATTAGGATTTATTACTGATTCCTTTGTGATATAGGGCATTTTGATCGATCTAATTGAGAGAAGACAAAATAACCATTTATCAAAGGGGTCATAGTTGAACTAAAATTCACTAAATTTGAGGTTTCTTCGCAGATTAGTCTAACTAACAGGATTGTGAATAATCCAAATGGAAAGAGTGAAGAAACACAATTGAAATCGGAGGTCAGTTGAAGTTTGAATTGGCGTTTAGCCAAGAGTCCAGTTGCGGTTAGCTAAGTAGTTCTGATAGGATTATCGAAGCATCGTAGTTGAAATTGTTTTTAACAAAAGTAACCAGCGATAGAGAAAGGAGGGTGCTGGTGTAAAGTAAAACATAAAAAGTTTTATCGGTAGGAAATACATGTGGAAAGATTGAGAAGAGAAATCGGATGAAATAACTTCGCTAACTTTCAGATCGTACCAAAGCTAATAATCATGTCCCACTAGTAAGATTCTGTGACTCGCATTCGAGAAAGCTAAACCCAGTAACTTGACTGTTATCTCATCAGTCTGCTCACACCAATTCCACACATCAGCAGCCAGTCACTTAACAAGGTGCAATAAAGCTTAACACCACAGGTCAAAGCTGTTGGACAAGAGACATGAAACATAATTCTGCACAGTTGCATACGACTTATGTAAAGCAGATCATCTTTTACATTTCTACGTGGTCTGTAGAAGAAGCGAAATCGACGGATATGATCATTACTCATGATTTCGTAAGGCACTGGCAGTGCCTCTCAAACCTCGGTATTCAACTGCAGTCGATACCACAGTGCCTTTCCTGTCATCACAGATGGACGGCCAGCCGTCCCATTTGGGCGTTTTTTGGTCACTCGCAGAGACAAAACGAAAATAATTAATGGCATAATATGCCCTGATACGTTGGTTAAATATTATTAGGCATCCTTATATATATATATATATATATATATATATTGCTTTCGGAACAGGCTTTAGGAGAGATCTTGCAAAGTCAAATCCGTTGCTGCACTCGGACTCGTGGTGTTTTGCATTCAGACCCTCTTTTTCACATATTGTTATCGGTTAATAGTTGATCAGAACAAGTATGATTTGCTGATAACTGACGTCTTATTAATTCAAAATGTCGTTGATTACCCTCCAAGCATTTTTACCCGACTCTCCTTCTAAATCTCCAGATTTATACGGTCACTTCTGCACTACCGAACACCTCTGCCACGAGAAGCTTGATGACTTCTACCCTACAGATTCTTTCCAAGAATCAGGAAGACCGCTGTTGGCTTGATTCCTATGAATCACGCCTTCTGTGCTCTTACACGCGTCACACACTTGATTATTGCAATGTCTCGGACACTGACGAACTGCAGTCTACTGTTACTACTCTAGCTACTTCCTGCTCGACTCTGGGCCGCAATACCGTGCAATCTGTCAGCCTCGGTGTAAAATCCTCAAACACCACCATGGTGAATCCTGTGATGGCTACCTCCCTCGCTCCAGTGTTCTCTTTCCAACAGTCAAGCGACGATATCCTACGATATTGCTGTGCAGAGTTGTCCGATCTAAGTCATTCGAAATGTACTTCTTGTGAGAAAGATTGGCATGCCCTTTGTTCATCTCTCGCAACCGAGACGGTAACCACCTTACCGACAACATCAATCCGACCTTCTTGCACGCCCTCGGTGTGAGTCGCTCTGACAAGAGCTGTTTTCCAATCATCTTGTTTCTTTTTACCGTTATGTTGTTTCTCCGATGCACAATCTACTTACATCACCCATTGCATTGGGAATCTGTTGGACCTGAAGTGCTCTCTGGAATTCGTACTCTAATTTGCTGTTTTGACTTTGACTACTATAATGCTTTTGAGTAGGCACATTTATTTCAAATAACGTACGTGTCCGTTCTTCTCTAGTGATGCCACAGCTCTGCTTCTCAATCGAATGCAGCGTAACCTCAATAACGCCGAATTGAGCTGCCGCCACTTGGGTCACGCGGCCGTATGCAATAAACGGTCGATGGCGAGCGACTATTTGCCATTTTTGCGAACAATCGCCTCTGGTGAGACCACCCGTCAATCCATCTGTTCTAAGCGAAGGTCAGTATTTTTTCAATTATGAACGCCTTTCCTAACTTAATATAAAACTCGCTCATGTTCCTCATCTGTCAATTTTAGACATCATGTCGACCATATATATGTTTCTGTGTCGAATTAGACGATTACATCTCTATAGTTTTTCGATCACGCACCGAATACTGAAGGAGCTGGATTGTCCTACCTTCTACGCCTGCAACGCTTGGTACTTGCTGGTTGTCCCTTTCCGAACAATGAATAACACATACAAACCGCAAGTACACAGCGCTTAGCACCTATCTCGCCTCTACGGACTACTGCCGTCTCATTCCCTTCGTTAGAGTTATTTTAGCTATATATATATATATATATATATATATATATATATATATATATATATATATATATATATATATATATCAGAATAAGGCTGAAGTCGGAAGGTAAAACTGTTAGGAGAAGCTCTGTTTGACATTCATTTTTGTGGAGGATCTTAGTTACCGTTTTTCACTATTCATCTTCTCTACCTCTTGACAGTTGTTTAAACGCTTCAATTCTTTAATCCGATTGGCAAACGCACATCGCTGTTAACGGGCGCTCACCTTACGTGTCAGTTTCATCAGCATTATTTCTACGAACATTTTTGATTTGCCTTTATTCCCATAAATTTTATTTGATTATCTTAAGGGAATGTTTGGTTGTCATTCATTTTTGTAGTAGTTCTTAATTTCCGGGTTTGCATTTCTTCATATCGCCTGTTTCCTGACCCTTGTTTAAACACGCCATTTCGGTATTCCGAGTCGCCAGCACCAGTCGTTGTAAATGTACGTTAACTTTACGGTTTGGGTTTCATAATGCCATTTCCAAGGGCAAATCTGATTCATGCTTCATTCCACAGCTGCTTATTCGCTTGTTGCATTTAGCGTTTCTCCAATGTTTGGTTGCCTCGAATATAGTTTAGTAGTTTCTTTTCAAAACTGCATTAGCCCGTGTGATTTACTGCTTACAAGTCTTTCACGATTCGTCTTTGGAGTTTTTCCTTCGGTCGTAGTGTGAAAGTGTCGGCTGCAACACAACAATATCTGTCGACCGAGTTTTGGGCAAACACATCGATCTTGTTTGAGCAGATGCAAACCCTTCTTCAACAGCAGCAGTCGCACTGTGAGAAATATCAACGGCAGTTGCTCGATTTGCTTTCACAGAAACTGAACACCAAACCGATTCCACGTCGGCAGTTGCACAGTTCAGTTTGATCCAGTTGATCAACTATTTTCCGGGCACTAAATTGCAGTGGATCCAGTTGCGACGACTCACATTGAAAGAATAACAATAAATAACAACGGCAAGATTGTGAGGTTAATGGCAAATGGGACGTTAAAAAATGGAAGCAAGAAGGGAGTGCGTTAAACTAACCTTAATGGAACGAAAATAAACAACCAGATGCAAGAATGTCACTGGCTGCGCCATGTCTGATGCGGTTTCCAACTATTGGTGTGGACTATCCCGAGGCCCCCATCCACGAAGATGTCACGCACCAGCTTCACCAAGTCTCTCAGACACTTTCTTCATTCTTGTATGCCACATCATGGACTGGCCACCTCGCGGTTTCACCCGACTTGGTGCACCCACGGCGTATAATGCATGCCGAGGAAACCGGTCAGTAGGCTTACGCAGAACATGGACTAGCTAACTTATGAGATTAGGATTCAGCAAACACTCTAGTGAGGCACCAGAAAGCTTTTTGCTAAAAACCAACTGGCGGACCTCAGCATTGCTCACTCGGTGTTCCCACCAAATTTGAGCAATACTCCGCAAGCACCGGTGGTCAAACACGGCCAGGCGTTTAATGTCTTCTTTGCGAATTGACCAGATTTACGATCCATTCAGTGACACCGGCCTTATCGCGGAGTTTTCCACCCTACCTCTTATTCATAGGCTGATATCCCGCCATCTCCGTAGAGGGTTGAGCCTTTGGAAAGCCATACGAGCCTTGCTGATACGTGAAGTGATGTGACCATCAGAGATGACACAGCTACCAAGGTAAGTGAACCGATCCACCACTTCCAGTGGATATTCGGCGATAGCTAAAAGCGGATGTGTCGGTGCAGTCCTACAGCAGTACTTTACACTTTGTTGCAAAGCACATGCCGAAGCGTGCAGCGTTACGCATCAATCTATCCAATAGTGGTTGCATAGCCACTGCGTCAGACCCAAGAAGAGCTATGCCGTCCGCATACTCCAAGGTTGTCACGTGGCAGAAATTCCACTCTGGTAGCGCTTGAAAGAACCGAGTCATTCACGATCATTTCGATAACAGTTGAAGAGGAAAAGAGATATAAGACAATTCTGGCGAACTTCATTTGTTGTGGGGAACTCAGGAGACAGTTTCCTGGAGACTTTTACACGGCCTCGGCACTCACGGTAGCGAGACTGCATAATGGAAAACAATGTAGCCGGCAGTGCCACAGACTAGTGTGATCGACAGAGTCGTAGGTGGCTTTCAAGTCAAGGAAAACCACCATAGTCGGTCGTCTCTGCTCTTAGGCTTGACGAAGAGCAACTATGAGGTCGATAACGACGACAAGGGCGGAAGCCAGCCTGGCTTTCAGTGAATTGGTTCTCATGGGGACCAGTAAGTTTTCGGAGAATGATAACCGTGATGAGTTTGGTTACAGTAGGAGCAAGGCTGATGCCTCGATGATTCTCGCACAAAGTGCGCTGACCCTTCTTTAAGATGGGCACGACAGTTCACAGTCGCCAGTCTGAACGCACTTCTTCTGTATTCCAAATCATCTTAAATAGAGACACGAGTCTGGTCAACAAAGAGTCACCACCATCTTTCAGCAAAGATGGAAGAAGGTCATCGAGTCCTGGAGCCTTGTTTCGTTTTAACACGGAGAGCTCATGTCGAATCTTTTCCAAAATTATAGGTGTGACATCCACTTCCCACTTAGGCTCAGCTGATTCGGCAAGCGGCAGCGTTGCAGCAGGCCTGCTGAACTCCTTTCCAAAATGTCCAGCCCCGCGGGCTAGCTAACGACGCTGAGAATGTAACAACTGTCCATCTTTCTCAGCTATTGTCTCGGTAACTGATGCCTTTCTCGGACCCGTGTTCCGGATGAGTTGGAACAGCACGGCTGTTCCCATCTCGTGAGCCTTTGCTATCCACCATCGTTCCCGGTCGATTTGAAGACTCCTTGTCAGAAGTCGTTTCAGGGAGTTCGGACACGCTGAAACTCAGTGCCCAACCTAACTTGTTTCCGTCCTACGATCAAGTTGATCGATGACCCACAGATCTATTCACAGTTACGACGTCTCAAGTGGGGTGCATAGCATGCGCCAACGACATTTTTCATGGCACTTTTGGGGTTCAGCAACCTCGTTCATCACTGACAATTGGAGGGCCAATTCATTATGATATTGTTGAATCGCAGACTGAGAGTTCAAGTTACCTTCGTTAAAAGATTGCCGCATTTTTGAAGAGGAAAGAGTGAACGCCAAGCGTGCGCGCACTAGAGCATGGTCGGAATCCAGGCAGTGGTCCAAAGTGACCGACAGTCTTGGACTAATGTACGTGTGTGTGTGTGTGTGTAGTTGATGGCAGTATGGTCAATTTGGGTGGACACTTGCACCACCATATGTAGACACTCTTGCGGCCTCAATCACGGAATTTGTCTGCGGTGGATTGAGCTCAGTAACATACAAACCATGGACAACTAAAGCCAATAAGGATGGAACATATTAGAAGCCAATCAGGTGCACATGAAGAACGGAAAGTGAGTGTTGCCGTCAGAGTAGGACTACGATTCGATGGCAAAAACATTGCTCCTAAACAGCCAGTAGGGATAGCGAAATGATACGTCAAAACAAACCTCAGTGGATTACCAGAGCTAAGAGAAAGTCTGTAGTCTGAAACGGTTACACAAGCATACTGCTTTTTTCATTGCTCCTCTAACAACGGGCTTTCAAGTAAGGCGACCATAAGGGCCTGCGCAATTTGTATGAGACACAGGTTGGAAGGTGGCCGCCTTAGGTAGGTGAGAGAGAGCTAATGCCGAAATACGACTGCGGCAATCTTGTTACATAACGTCTAGGCAACGGCAGATCTGTACAGCATAAGTCAAACGCAGTTTCCCATTTCATGCAGACCGAAGGTAAAGGTGAGATATTACACTTGAATTCGAGGGATAAATGGTATCTCTTAGTGGTAAAAGTGTAGGCGATCGCTATGATGTCTACTTTGGTTGCTTGAGCGATTCATCTTCTCTTGATCGCTGTACAACTAGTCATGATCAATTCTTCAACAACTGGATGGTCCAAAATTTAGCGACTCTGATACTTATCCTCCTACTGAACACATCGCTCAACTGGACAGGGTTGAAACCCGGTGCGGCCATAGGAGAACGCATCATACGCCAGAGGATGGAAAATGGATAGCAGACGACTACGAGTAATAGCGCAATAAATCAGTTTCAGGCCAGAACAACATTTACTTGGAACAAATTTCTGTGTCACATTACGTGATTATTAACATTTTTGCATTTGCATTAACAATCTGTTTCAACACTGAATCAATTGTGAGGTCGAACAGTTATCACAACCTTATATCATTTATTGGAACTCACTCAGCTGCTCACTCCCAATGTCAAGACCAAAGTTGTTCGCATTTTGATCGTCGCAGATTCGCTTGTACATATTTGATCATGCCTTGTTGGCGTGCCTCGTGCAACACCGAGTATATAAATTTATTAGCGGACGACTCAGGATGCACCGCCTAGATGGATATGACTTATGCACTGAAGCGCGCGCAGTTTACTGCATAGCCCACTGATATGCTTTATAAAAAGGCGACAAACAGCTATTTCGCATTCTGAGATGGATCAGTGGCTTATATCCGACCCCTCGTGTTAGTGTATCTCACAGTCCTCGCACAGTGATTCGTAACCTACGACATTATGCAATTTTGAGTTACCCTCAATAGTCTGCTTAACCTAAAGGTCAATAGAATGGCTGCTCCTTTTCTG